GGGGCGTGCTTTCTGTCGGGTGGGCTGTGGTCTGTGTGTGGGGGGGGTGCTGCTGGTGGTGGTGGTGGTGGTGGTGGTAGAGGTGGTGCTGGTGCTGCTGCTGCTGGTGGTGGTGGTGTTGCTGCCGCCGCCGCTGCTTCTGCTACCGGTGCTGAGCGAGGGTAGTAGCTAGTCCCGCTGGCTCGTCATTGCCACTCCAGCTTGCAGCGTCGTAATCAGAGCAGCCAAGTCGTGGAATGTAGTTACAACCCTGAAATGGGAGAAACATCGGCGTGTTAATGAAAAAAATGCGTCAGGAATTACTGCACTGGGATCGCTTCTCCTTTACCCGTGTTATCGCATACCAGAACTTTCACACCCGTTACCCCTAGTACACTCATACCCGTTATTATTATATAGATGTACTCTTACACCCGCTATTATATATACACATATACATATTATATACATACCCGTAATCTTACACCCATTATTCCATATATAATGGGAATATTATTCCATATATTATTCCATATATAATATGCCTATACTTTCACACACGTAATCCCAGATCAATACTCCTCCACCTGTTATCCCCTTACCCGTACTCCCACCAGTTCTCCCCTACCCTCACTGCCACCCATTTTCCCTGGCCCTTATTCACGCCTGTTATTCCAGGCCAGTAGGCCTACTCCCGCCCAGCCTTCCTACTATACTAGGTGGCGATGTATCCAGCGTTCGGACAGCATTTGTTTAAACACGCAGCCGTGGTAATTGAAAAGAAAACATCGGAGCAATTATTTACGGGGTAGAAAGATATGAGATGCACGGGAGCCACAGTTCAACAGGCGTCGCGTTTTTTCGTGTTCATTGGCACTAAAGAAAGCCATGGGAACCAATCGGAAGGTTCACACATGCGGGCAGTTACAACTGCATATGGCCCTTTGCCATGATATAGGCAACGTTTCGTAAACGTCTGGCCATGGTTTGCCACAGTAATTCTCCTCACATGTCTTTTAACTCTAAGCAACAGCGACGCGAGCGACAGCAACAGCGATCTTCAAACATCGATGTTGATCATCGATAGGAAATCTCGTGATGGAGCTATCAATACGAGAATATCGGTGATCAGTATTAGTTTATGCAAAACCGTCGCGACTCGGGGACTACCGAGGGAGGATTAGCTCTGAGAATTTTTTTTTTATCCAGCATGTGCGACGAGGACCGACTGGCGAGAGACGGGTGAAACTATTTATATAGAAGTCTCTCGCTATTACAATAATTATCTTAGCGATAAATTACAACATATCGCCGCCAGATATCGTAAAGCTTCGTCGAGGCAGACAGCATCTTATTTTGCATAACTATCGTCGTCCATGCGACGCCACAGCAGCAGAAACAGTACGTCGCAACACGCCGACAACACGGAATAACACCAGTAACAAAGCTCCCCCTGCCGCTCCCGCAGACAAACATTAGGTAAGATTTAAAAAGGCGCCACCGTGCTTTTACTGACCGAACACGCAGCTCGGATTTACCCGATGACCTTGACCCAGTAGTATCCTTAGTGCATGTATTAATTATTAGCAAGAAGATCTACGCGGAGAATGTGTGCATGCCATGTACTCGTAATAGAAGAGACGCTGGACTCACAGATGCACCCGGGGAATTTCTTATGAAGGCTGGGGCACGTCGATAGGATAGCAAGGCATAGCTCTATCTGTGCAGCACTTTGCTCCGGCCGCGGCGGAGTGAACAGCTGGATAGGTAGAGTTTGGCAAGACAGGCGTGAAGCCGAAGCTGATCTTTACGTTGTTGAGTAGACACGAATTATTAGAAGGCAATAGCAATTGAGAATCATAATTAAGGCAGATGGGGTCGTTGTCGTATCAGGTACTACAGATATGCACCCGAGGTAGTTTTAGGTTGTT